GTTTTTGAGGCTACTGTGAAAGATACTGTTTCCCTGATTTTTTTTCTCAGTATGTTTTTCATTTATATACAGGAAGGCTTCTGATTTATTTGTGTTAATTTTGTTTCCTGATACTTTACTGAACATTTTTATGAGTTCTAGGAGTTTCCTGGTGGAGTTTTTATGGTCCTTTCTACATAAAACTGTGTCTTCTGCAAATGAAGATACTTTGATTTCTCCCTTTCCTGTTTGTGTTCCCTTGATCTCCTTCCATTGTCCTCCTGCTCTAGTTAAGGCTTCAGCTGAAACTCAGCTTTAATCCATTGTGGTTGGATAGGATGCAAGATGTATTTTAATTTTATTATATCTGTTGATACTTGGCTTTGTATCCAAGTATGTGATTAATTTTGGAGAAAGTTCTATGAGCTGCTGAGAAGAAAGTATATTCTTTGGTGTTTGGCTGAAATGTTCTGTAGATGTCTGCTTGGTCCATTTGATTTATGATGTTATTTAACTCAAGCATGATTTTTCTATTTAGTTTTTGTTGGGATGACCTATCTATTGGTGATAGTAGGTTATTGAAATCTCCCTCTGTCATTGTATGAGGATCAACATGTGATTTTAGCTGTAGTAGTGTTTCTTTTATGAACTTCTCTGCCCTTGAGTTTGGTGCATAAATGTTTAGAATTGCAATATTCTCTTCACGTATTTTTTCTGTTGATGAGTATGTAGTGTCTTTCCTTATCTCTTCTGATCAGTTTTGATTTGAAGTCTGTTTTTTGCCAGATATTAAAATGGCTACATCTGCTTGTTTCTTGGTCCATTTCATTGGAATACCTTATTCCATCCTTTTATCCTAAGGTAATATCTGTCCTTGATTGTAAGGTGTTTCTTGAATACAACAGAAAGATAGGTCCTGTTTTCTAATCCAATCTGTTAGTCTGTGTATTTTCATTGGGGAATTTGTACTATTAATAGTGAGAGTTATCAATGAACTGTGTTTATTGATTCCTATTATTTTGTTGTTATGATGTGGGGTTTTAATCTTCCTTTTTACTTTTTGTTCTGGAATTGTTTGTTTCTTGTGTTCTTGGGTGTAGTCTTTACTTTTCTGTTGATTGTAATCGATAGTTTTGTTGGGTATAGGAGTCTGGGCTGGCATCTGTATTCTCTTAGAGCTTGTAGAACATCTGTTCAGGCCCTTCTGGCTTTTAGAGTCTCTATTGAGAAATCAGGTGTTATTCTAATGGGTCTGCCTTTATATGTGACTTTTTTTTTTCCCTTGCAGCTTTTAATGTCCGTTCTTTGTTTGTTTGTTTTCTGATCCTGTCTGTTTGGTGTTCTGTATGCTTGTACCTTGGTAGGCACCTCCTTCTTTAGGTTGGGAAATTTTTCTTCTGTGATTTTGTTAAAAAATATTTTCTATGCCTTTGACCTGGGTTTCTCCTCATTCTTCTAGCCCTATTATTTGTAGATATGACCTTTTCAGAGTGTTCCAGATTTCCTGGATGTTTTGTACCTGTTTTTTGTTTGTTTGTTTGTTTTTTGTTTTTTGTTTTTTTTTTTTAGATTTAACATTTTCTTGCACTGAGTATTTATTTCTTCTACTTTGTTTTCAAGACTTGACATTCTCTCTTCCATGTATTGGTGAGGCTTAACTCTGAGACTTTTGACTGCCTAAATTTTTCATTTCCAATTTTATTTCAGTTTTGGTTTTTAGTGTCTCTATTTCTTTGTTAAATTCTTCCATTTTCACATTTGTTTCATTATTTCATTCAACTGTTTCTTTCTGTTTTCATGGTCTTCATTCCTCTTTAAGGTCCTTGAATATGTTCACAATTGCTGTTTTGAAGTCCTTGGCTTGTGCTTCAGCTCTATTACATTTCTTAAGGCCTTCTGTAATAGGGTTATTAGTTTCTAATAGAGGCGTGTTATCTTGGCTATTCATGTGTTTTTATACTGGAGTCTAGGCATCTGGAGTTAAGATGATTAAGATGTTTCTAGGTTTTGACATCTGCTCTTGGCTTTGTGGGGTGGGTGTCCTGTTCTTTGGTTGCTGTTGCCCTTTCTGGATCCTAGGCAAGTGATAGATGTGGGGTCTCTGGCAGTCAGTGCTTCCACAAGTTGATGGGTGACAGAAAGGAATGGAGATGGGCTAGGAGGAAAGGCTGAGAGTAGCTGTGGCAGAGAGTTAGGGGAATCTGGCCCACATGAAGAGGTGGGGTCCCCAGGGAATGGGGTATGGTGGGAGGAGGGGCTCCTGCAAGTAGGCCACAGTAAGAAAAGAAATAAGTCTGGAGAGAGAGGGATGAAAGGCCTATGGGGCCCTGGATCTGTATTAAGAGGTGGGGTCTCCAGTGAATAATGTTGAGATGGCAGGAGGGGTTCCTGTAAGCAGGACTAGGAGTAAGTCTGACAGAGAATAATGAAGGTCCAGAGGGATAGTAAAAAATCACTTACCTGAGTCAGAACCTCGTGTAGCCATGGCAGAGCGGGTGTGTGTGTGTGTGGGGGTGGGGGTGGGGTCCAAGGTAGAAAGTGTTTCTGGGCATTTGCTGCTGACACAAAGGAATGTAGATAAGTTAGAAGGGAAGGCTGGGGGCCAGGGAGAGCTGAGCTGGGGCCCAGCAAGAAGTGGAGTCCCCAGGGAGTGAAAGTTTTGTAGGAGGAGGGACATGTGCAAACCAGCTGCTCCAAGACTCCGGGTGAGACTGGGGAGATTATGAGGGAGGACAGAAAGGAGAGTGGAAATCTGTCCTTCTGTCTTATCAGTCTAGACTATGTGTTTAGCCATCTTCCAAGCCTCCACAATGGTAGTTTTCAATGATTTGACTTAAGAATTTCTTTTGGATGGAGTCCAATAATATGCTTTTTTTAAAAAAGTAGATAATGACTGTGTATCAATTCTAATGAATTATCAGTAGATGGCAGTCACTGTTTTCTTTTCTTTCTTTCTTTTTTCCTTTCCTTTTTTTAAGTTCCACCATAGAGATCCAGAAAACAAAATAAAACCAAAAACACCACACCCCCACACCCCCCCACACACACCAGAAAAAAAACAAACAAAAAACCCACAATCTTCTCCAGTTTTTTTCAAGAATAGTTGGTGTAATTAAATGTTATGTAAGAGTTCTTCAACTGATGTTGATTCATGATTCAGAAATAAATATCAAGAAATACCAGTTAGTTTCTTATTATATGAATCTAATGTTCTTCATTCTTTATGTTATGTCATCAAATATTTGAGGGAGGACATTACTAGAGTTAGTGAATTGAGGAAGAGGCAGTATTTCTGGCTTTCAGTTAAAGCAAAAAGGTAAAGCTAAAGATCAATAAAGAAGCTGGAAAGTCTGCTAAAGGTGGAACTTGAGTTTCAGGGAACACGAAGGGTGAGTTGGGGCATGCAACTGTGTCAAATTAAGGAATGTACCAAGCTCAGTGGGGATACATCTTCACAGTTAGGCATGATTTGAAATTCTGAAGGCTTCTCCTAAAGCCTGAGTGAGGAGGGATATGTACAATGTGTTATTTTAGTACCACTTAATGCTGGAGTACTACTTTTTAAAGAGAAGAATCATGTCTTTATATATCATGTCAGAATCAAATTAGATTGTTAGCCATGTTTTTACTAGTGCCGGGGATTGTACAATGGGACCAGTGAGCAGCTTTAGGCAGATTGTGAAGTGGCACTGGTTCAGAGGGGAGAGAGTAGACTTCCTAGGAAGAGAAGTCCATCTAGCAGGAACTTAGAGCATGAAGTTGGGTTCCCTCTTGAATCATGCAAATAGGGTGCTGGAGCCACCTGAAATAGTTCCTCAAACAGGGAAAGTGGGTACAGTAGTGTGAGTAAAAAGAAGAAGCTCAGTGGTAAGATATCACGCACAAGGTCCTGGGGTCAATCCCCGGCACTAGTGAAAAAATGGCTAACAATCTAATTTGATTCTGACATGATATATAAAGACATGATTCTTCTCTTTAAAAAGTAGTACTCCAGCATTAAGTGGTACTAAAATAACATGAATTCAACTCACATCACAATAGCTGACTGTGTAAGTTCCTTGATCTGTTTGTGCCTCAGTGAGCTTTTGGTATATATTTACCTCAGAGTCAAATGAGTTTACATGTTAAATACTTAGAACACTACCAAGAGCAGGATAAATATTATATATAATGCTTAAACAAGTCTGAAGTACAAGTAGGCATGGAAGATGCACTTAGCACTGTAGTCAGTTGGAAGCATTGAGCTAGCTATAGAGTATGCGTTTTCAAGGCAGGTAGGGAAATTAAGAATGAATTCTTTGGCCATAAGACGACACAAATAACCTAGAGAATGTAAGATTTGGCTCCACCAATACTAATCTGAGGCAGTTCTGTGTGTGATGAGGGAAGGACATAGATCAGAGGCATGAACAGGGAATGAACTCAGAACCAGGAAGACATCAAGATTGAAGGAAGTTCCAAGTGAGATTTGAAGGGAGTTACATGAAGACATAAGAAAGAATTCTAACTTCTCACATGCATCTGACAGTTCACTAGCTAAGCTTTCAGAGTTTCTTCTACTTGTTGTAAGATATTTCTGCGTAGGTTTCAATCTTCTTGCTTCAGAAGCAATTCAGTTTTGATTTTCCTTATTTTTATGTAACACATCTCAGTCATTTAAGTTTTAGTTTAGAAGGCATGTGTAATTCATGTGTGAATGTGTGTGTGTGTGTGTGTGTGTGTGTGTGTGTGTGAGTGTGTATGTGTTGTGTAGTGTTTAATCCTTAGAAAAGATGCTCAGTGATTGCTGAAACTTCTCTGTGGAGGTTTCCTTGCATGTGTTTAACATTTAGGATAATGTTTCATTTTTTTGTCTTGGAAAGTTTGGAATCATTTTAGTACTGGTTAGATTTACAGCATCTATAAAATATTGGAGTTTTGTTAATAACTAGAAATTTCCTTCTGCACAGATGTTAAATAGAAGGTGGTAACTTCTAATCTCAGCAGTATTTGTGGACACTGAGTCCACTTTTTCATCCTAGGAATGTGTATCATTTCTTCTGGACAGACCAATTCTGATGCTATTTGTCCTGACCCCGAAATGGCCTCTTCTGTCACCTTTCCACTCCTGTGAGTGCAGTTCCCTCTTCCTTTCTTGATGACTGGAGTCCGCATGCCTCCATCTTATCAGCTGCTCCTAAGAAAAGGGTAAACAAATGTCTTCAAACCTGCCTAGGACTGCCCTGGTTAAAGTAACACTGGACGGAAATGATGAAATGTTCTTGGAATCATTTCTTACATGTGCTGATCAAAATCTTCTTCAACACAGTACTGGAAATTCCTGCTACTAATCCATAGTAATTACTCAGTGTATGTCAGCTATTGTGTGTGTGTGTGTGTGTGCGTGCATATATACATACAGGAGTGTGTTATAATATCTTTAATTATGACTTTGGCCCTCTGAGGCTTCACAGATAAAGATACAGAAGATAAAAGAAAAAACTTCCTCAAGCTCCAACAGCTAAAAAGCAGAAAAACCAAAATTTAAATATAGTTTTTTTTTCTTCCTAAATCTCACTTAATTATTGTGTTTAATTATTGATACTCATAGTGAGCAGTCTTTAATCATCCTTGTCATGTGTTTAACAACTGTTAGGATCATGAATATGTGTCAGGAAAAACGAAAAGTAAAACATTATCTCTGTTGTTTTGTAGGAGTAAAGAAGGTGAACTAATCCAGGGAAAGGAGCTAGTAAACAAAGAATGTCAGAAGACAGAGAACAGAAGAAGGAAGGCATTCCTAAAGAAGGTAAGGGAGCAATCCCAACAAATAGCTGGAAGATCAGCTGCACTGACGAAAATGAACGAAAGGATCATGGTGGTAAAAATGGGAGCAAGTTAGAGGAGGAGGAAGCAGGTATATTTCCTCAGGAATAGACATAGACGGGGTTTATATGCTTTGTGTAACGTGAAAAAACAGGACTATACAACTAAGAAATGCTGAGACTATGTGTGAGAGGGAGGATTCCCCATAGTAGAGCACACCAATTGGTTATTCAATACCAAGTTGTCAGCCCTGAAACATATATACAGGTTACATTATACAGACCAAGCAGGTTGTGCTTATGCATTTATCAATATATATGTGTGTGTGTATATGTGTGTATATATGTATGTGTGTATTTATATATGTTAATACATATATGTATTAACAACAATTAACTTTTAAAAAGACCGTACATTTGAAAAAAGAGTGAGGAGGGGTACATGGAGGTGCTTAGAGGAGTTTATGAGTAATAATTTCAAAACATAAATAATTAAAAAAACAGGACTACAATGAAAAATAATCAACTCTAAGTGGTTTTCACTTGCTATGATAGCACTGTAATTATAACATGTGCAAGAGTTCTGGATTAGGAAATTAAGACAATCATATTTACTCTGCTCTATAGAGAACTGGTACAACACTGAGGTAAGCAACCCAAGTGACATTACTATTGCCTTGTTCTTGATTTTGCTTAGGGCCAGAAAGGGAGACTATCAACCCTAAATTTAGTTATTTATAAGAAAAAAACATTGTTTTTAATGAATTTATAGAAAGAAATATGACTTCCTTAAAATATATGCATTTAATTTTTATTAAATACCTTATTCTTTATCTAGCTATGAGCAAAGAAGACACGTCTTCATTAACAGATGTTGTAGAGCAAGTTGCAAAACAACAACAATCACAAACATCTGAAATAGAAAAACATAAAAGAGTTCTGTTCCATTTGCAGGTAAATATTTGATATATTCTTTGAAATGTCTCCAGCTTCTTCCGAAGTTTTAGTGGAATGTTGCTTATGAAGACTAACCAGGGGCTGGGATGGCAGTTCAATCGGTAAAGGCCTTGCCACACAAGCAACAGAATCTGAGTTTGATGGCCCATGTAACAAAGCTAAGCCTGGTGGTATGTCCTTGGGGTGTGGAGAAAGGCTGATCCCTGTGGCTCACTGGCCAGCCAGCCTACCCTACCTGGCAAGTGCTAGGCCTGTGAGAGACCCTGTCTCACAAAACTGAGTAGATGGTGCTTGAGGAACACCACCAGAGGTTGTCTTCTAGTTTTCACATTTATATACATACACACATGCATGTGCACAGACACACACACACACACCCTAACAGTAGCACCACCACCACTACCACAAAAAAGAATGGTATATTTATAGAATATCTCACACTCCCATGCAGTGTCATTGTAGCTACAATGTCATTATAGCTATAATGTAAGTTTATAAAACCCAACTCATCACATAGAATCATTTAAAATTCATCCTATGGCATTCTCCCATAAAACCATAAATTGAAGTAAATTAGTAAAACCATGTAAGCCAGTAAAGCTATGGTGTCTGAGTGACTAGCTGTTAGTGAACACCTTAAGTAGACTCCTCTAAGTTCTTTCCTCTTCATAATGTTCTCTCATCATTCTGCAAGGAGCATAGGGACCATCTTCGTCTTGTATGAAACATAATGGAACAGAATTATACTCTGTGAATATGACTAGAGAAAGGCAACGGTGTTTGTAAAGGTGTTATTACAAAGGCCGGGGAAACGAAAAGAACAGGCTTCAGAGCTGAACTGTCCTGCTTGCATGGCTAGGTTTGCATATTTAGCTCTATGACTGAATTTGCTAGCGCCTCTTCTGCCTCCTTTGTAAAATGGAGAGAATAATGAGATATGATTGTAAGGGTTTTGTGAATATCAGTGTCCACTTGTAATTGTATATCAGTGTCATTGGCAGGGCCACAGTGGACAGTAGGACTTGATTTGACATTTATTTAAGTATTAATGTATTCACAGATACATCATGGTAATAATTGTGTTGATATACTATAGATGGTTTATATATACTGACATTATGTTAGTCCCTCCTAAAATATATTTGCAAAATAGAATATAATACAAAGCAATGTCTTAGATTTCTATAAAGAATTTTTATGACTTCATAAAACTTCAGACAATAATTTATTTATGCTGAGAGCCTATTTTTGAATAAAAAATTTACAAAACTTTATATTTACTCTTGCATTGTTCATCACCTATGGGGGAGGGAGACAAAAAAAATCAAACAAGTAATTTAATCCACATGGCATCATCAATATTAGAAACATGAACTTCGTACAGATTTAACACAAGAAAGACTTTTCACTAAAGAAGTGATCTTTCAAAGTCAAGATTTAATGGACAGCTGGAGTATTGAATACTGGGGACAAGGTTCAGAGTGAGAGGTAAGGAGGCTAATATTCCAGAGAGTTCACAGAGGCCTGCCATAACATTGGCATGTCCACCACACTGGAAGTACTTCGCAATGGCATAGCATAGAGAAGCCTTGAGAAATGATGGAAGCTTTATACAGTGATAAGAGACTTGTATTTTATTCTGAAGTTGATGAGGTCCAAATAGCTTTTAAAGCAAAGATTCAATAAAAAAAAAAACTATGTTAAAGAAAGAGAATTCTAGGTCCATAAAAAGTACTTGTTACAACATCTACTTAGGACAAAAACTCTCAGCAAATTAGGAATAGACAAAAATTTTCTCAATCTAAAGGAAAAGAACATCTGTGTAAGAGCAACCATATGCCAGAGGCTGAAGTAATGTTTTCCTCTAGTGATCAGGAGCAAAGCAAGGAGCTTCCTTTATTTTTATTCAAATGATACCAGTAATTCAAAGCAGTGCATCATGTAAGAAGAAGAAAAAGAATATATCTAGACAGGATGAAATAAACTTAAAAAGTTATTCATGGCATAGTTACCTTTAGAAAAATCCCAAAGAATCCTGAAAAGGCTATTAATACTAATAAGGGAGTTTTTTTTTAAAGTAACAGAATGTCAAGATTAATATTTTTAAAACTGTATTCTATGTCTATTTATGGATAAGAGATGATCAGAAAATTTTAAAACAACATCATTTATTATGGTACCAAAACTGTGGAGTTAAGTAGAGATAAATTTGGCAAATGTTTAAACAAGCCAAGTATGAATGAAAAAAGTTAAAGACCTAAAAGATGGAAAGCTATACCATTTTCATGAATCATGAAAATGTTAGTTCTCCCAATTTTATACCTAGAGTAAAAGCTATCTCAAGCAAAAATACTACCTCAATTTTGTTTTGACCAGCTGATTTTAGAATTGGATAGAGAGACAGAGAACCTCCAAATGGCCAAAGCAACTTTGAACAACAATGTTGGAATTCTTATACTGCCTGGACTACTTTCCAGCACAGCAGCCAGTTTTCTAATTCTACAAATACCAACTAGATCTAAATAGTTCAGTCTATTCTGATATTACCTGATGTTAGCATCAGCCCTCACATGCACACATTCACCATTACACACATAATGATGACAGATAGACAGACAGATGCATACATACATATATACATGCATAGACTAATTAATAAAATTTAAAAGTCAAAATCCATCAGTTTTCAAAATGTAAAGGTTTGGAATTTGGCCGGGCGGTGGTGGCGCACGCCTTTAATCCCAGCACTCGGGAGGCAGAGGCAGGCGGATCTCTGTGAGTTCGAGGCCAGCCTGGTCTACAGAGCGAGATCCAGGAAAGGCGCAAAGCTTTACAGAGAAACCCTGTCTTGAAAAAACCAAAAAAAAAAAAAAAAAAGATTTGGAATTTATTGACCTTGATTGTATCTTAATAGGATGAAACAGAGGGAGAAAAGGAGAAGTGGTAGTAGCACTTCTGTATTTCTAATTTAAGGGTGGAAATAGATTAAAGAAAACATGCTAAAGCTAGTAACAAAATATAATGGTCTATTACATTACTTTAAGAAAGAAAAGAGATGGCCTAATTGGTAGAAATGTTATGTCTCCCTATACCAAGTTTGCATGCTCTTATCATTAATAACTTGATTGTAGCCAACAGAGCATCTGTTCCCTTTTCTTATATATGTGTCCATCGTTTCATAAACATTTATTGAGCTTCTACTTTGTGACAGGCACTGTCTTAAGAGGAAGGTGGTGATAAAGAAGACAGACAAGGTTCTTGTAGTCACAGTTCCTACTTTCTAATAGAGGAAGAAAACTGTAAGCTATTTAAAGGAGAGTTACAGATTGATATGTTGCAAAGGAGGTAGGATAGGGTAATATGTGAGAGTGATGGGGAGGATGTGAGTAGTTACTTCTTATTTCAGTTTAACCAAGGTTCCCCTGAGGCATATAACAACTGAATGTGAATCGTGAGGGGCAAAGGATTTTAAACAATTTTGTTTATTATTGTTGTGGGATATTTGTACACTATGTGAAGATATATTGCTGTGGTTGATTTAATAAAGAGCTGAATGGTCAATAGCTAGCAGGAGGTATAGGTGGTATTTCCAGGGAAAGAAAGGAAGAGGAGGAGGAATTGAGGGGCAGGAGACACAAGGAAATGTGGAGGAAGCAGGATGGGTGCTACATGACAGAACACAGATTAATACAAATGGGTTAATTTAAGTGATAAGAGCTAGTGGAGACAAGCCTAAGCTAAAGGCCAAGCTTTCATAATTAGTAAAAAGTCTCAGTGTTGTTATTTGGAAGCTGGCTGGTAGGACATAAAAAGCTTGTTACATATTATTATTGCATGTTTGTGTGGCATGTGAATTCGGGCACCCGCATGCTACAGTGCAAGGATGGATATCAGAGGATAACTTTGGAGTTGCCTGTCATTTTCCATCATGTTGTCAGGCTTGCAAGGCTAGCACTTCAGCTGCTGACCTGTCTTGCTGGCCTGAGGCAGAGAATTTTATGGTAGATGGATCAACAATTACAAATGTCCTTAATTAAGAAGGAACTGGGCATAATGGATAAACAGGAAGGATGCTGGGAAACAAGAGTGTAGTAAATGAGTAGGAGAGGCAGCAAATAGGGATTAGGATGAATGTATACATGGCTTTATAAGCCACTTGCAGGGATTTAATTGTGTCATTAATGTGACAGGACACCATGAGAGGTTTGAGCAGGAAAGCGCGCCATGTGCTTTATGTTTTAAAATTTTTTTTCTGCTTACACATGGTACCTAGCTGGTGAAGAGGGGCAAGAATGAAATAAGATGAGTCAGAAGTCAGGCTGTACCACCTATGATAAAGATATGTCAAAAATAAATTTGAGGTATTTATCTATTTATTATCTGTTTATTTATTTATTTATTTATTTATTTATTGGTGCTGGGGATGGACCCCAGGGCTTCATGTGTGCTATACAAATGTTCCGCCACTGAGCTACATCCTATCCATATATTCAAGATTTTATTTTGATATCCCAATCATCAAGCTTTGTTGAAAGTGGCAAATAGAATGTAGAGGCAAATTAAAAGGATTAGAAATGACTTCTCAGCTTTTGACTATCCAGTGAAAACCAGTACAGTTTTCAGACATCAATGGACCTGTGGGAAGAGTGTGTTTGGTGTGTCTCAGATATTTGCTGAATATGTATGCATAGTTGAGATGGTTCTGCCAGGAAAACACCAGAGGAGTCTTACATAGAAGGGTTTGAAGTGAGAGTTCACTTTTTATCATGCCTTTCTTCCAACCCTTCAAACTGATTTAAAGGGAGTGACAGTAGTAGACAGAAAGAAAGAAGGACGACTGGTGTCCTGCAGTTATTTAAGTGGGATTTGATGTAGAACTGGATGAACAACTAATACAGAAACAAAAAGGGCTATAGATTAGACAATGATTGTTTCTCAAGGTGGTCCTGTGGATTACGTTTGTGACTGTGCTGTGCTGATGTGTACTTCTGGTCTCT